CCATGAATGGCTGCAGGAGCTTTAATGGTTCCACTAACCTCAGGGACAGGCACACCAGATAGATTCAGGACATTCAGCCTCTTTGTATTATATGTAAGGACTGCATATCCAGTGGTGACAACCAGGGCAGGGTGTCCCAGGATAGCCATAAATAAATCCTCACCCCATCCTAGCCCACCTCAGCCAAATCAGTCAAAGTGGCAAAGGCTGATTTATTTCAACTTTATTTATTGAACTTTTTTTTTTTTTTAGACAGAGTCTCACTCTGTTCCCCGTGCTGGAGTGCCGTGGCCTCCGCCTAGCTCACAGAAACCTCAAACTCCTGGGCTCAAGCAATCCTCCTGCCTCAGCCTCCCGAGTTTGATGAACTTTTTAATGTGTAGAATTTCCTCAAACTCTTTCAGCAAATAGTATCTACTAAGAAATCTGGGTTCTCAGGCCTGCCAATTACCATCTGTAGAACCCGAACCCCAGTTTTGCTGATAAAAAGGGGATAGGAATTTTGCTTGCCCTACCTTCAACCATGAAATTTAACTTACAGAATACATATCAAAATATAGAATAGAATGTGTTACCATTTACTTGACCCTGGCACTTAGATTATGTGGGAACATATATCGATTTATGAGATAACCCCATATGAGAATATAGACAAGATTCTAAATATGTAATTTAAAAAATTTTACTGAAATTCAAGATAGGCTATTCTTTCTTCAAAACCCAATCAACAAATATGTTAGGCTTGTTAATTTTGCTCTCTTTACCTGTTTGCATTGGCTTCACTGTGCCCAGAATTGTTATCAGCATGCGAGGCATGACTCCTCCAGGCAAATGGAGGTCATAAAGCACAGTCTGGGAATAAACAGTATGTATTCAGACTATTCAGGGGAGATTTCAGTCATGGTGAGTTCCACTTCAGATTATCCTATCCAGGCTGGAGACCGTATAGCAAAACTTCTGCTATTACTTTATATACAAATTGGAAAATCTAGGGTTCCAATGTTCAAAGTCAAGGAAGGTTTAGAAATACTAGAACTAAAGTATATAGGCAAACTTTTATTAATGCCAGAGACCTCAACTAGAGATCAAACTAAATGGCAAATCTTTCGTTGGACTTTATCTTAAGCAATTATTAAACCAAACTGAGCCAATACATAGTTGGCCTGGTGGTATTGTTGTTCTAATTTTTGTTTAGAGGAACATGCAAATAAAATGTCATCCATCTAATGTATAATATAACTGTGGGGAAAACACTTTTGTAGTATTTCCAAAGGCTGACTGACAAAATGTTGGCACAGGGTGGAGCTATTAAGGGTGCCCTCAGGCAAGACTTTCCATTGGTATCATTTAGTTGCTTGCTGATTGTTTAAAACAGGACCTGTAAAGGCAAATTTTTCTGGATCAGATATTTGCAAAAGGATTCTAAAAAGGCAGTATTTTACAACGGTGATATAGCACATCTTATATTTTCCTGGTTAGAGCTGGAACCCATACTACTAAGTGAAGTATCCCAAGAATGGAAAAACAAGCACCAGATATATTCTCCAGCAAACTGGTATTAACTGAGTAGCACCTAAGTGGACACATAGATACTACAGTAATAGGGTATTGGGCAGGTGGGAGGGGGGAGGGGTGCAGGTATATATATACATAAGGAGTGAGATGTGCACCATCTGGGGGATAGTCATGCTGGAAACTCAGACTTGTGGGGGGGAGGGCATTTATTGAAACCTTAAAATCTGTATCCCCATAATATGCTGAAATAAAAAAAAATCAAAAAAATAAATAAATAATAATAAAAAAAAGCAGTCTTTTAAATCCACTATTACAATATACCAATCTTTAGGAATCATAGCCTGAGAAAGAAGTCCTGGCTGAAGAGTCCCCATTGGTTGTATAATTGAATGGATCTTGCTTAAATCAGTTAACATTCGCCATTTACTAGATTTCTTTCTTTTTTTTTTTTTTTTGAAACAGAGTCTCACTTTGTTGCCCAGGCTAGAGTGAGTGCCATGGAGTCAACCTAGCTCACAGCAACCTCAAACTCCTGGGCTCAAGCAACCCTGTTGCCTCAGCTTCCTGAGTAGCTGGGACTACAGGCATGCACCACCATGCCCGGCTAATTTTTTCTATATATATTAGTTGGTCAATTAATTTCTTTCTATTTTTAGTAGAGATGGGATCTCACTCTTGCTCAGCCTGGTTTCTAACTCCTGACCTCGAGCAATCTGCCCATCTAGACCTCCCAGAGTGCTAGGATTACAGGTGTGAGCCACAACGCCCCGCCCCAGATTTCTTTTTAATAACAAATACAGGGGAGTTCCATGGACTGGTGGATTCCTCTATACGTCCTGCTTGTTACTGTTCTACTAAGATTTGAAGAGCACCCAATTTTTCCTGGTCCAGTGGCCACTGCTCTGTCCATATAGGCTCTTGTGATATCCATTTTAGAGCCAGTGCATAGTGATGCCCTTCAACAGCAGTGGCCGCTATCCGAAATTTGGATAGCCTAAATGAAGTCGAGAAGAGTGTTCTTTGGGTGCCACGAAAGTCTTAGCCCCTTGGCCTTCCTTACTCAAACCAAAACAAGGATTATCATTAATATTAAGCATCATTCATTTAATAAGAGCAGATAGACTAGGTATACTGACCTAAGCTCCCCATTATTGTAACAAATCTCTTCCCCATAGAATAGCTATGCCAGCCACATGAGGTTTTAGGCTGGCTGTTTATCAGGGCCACAACAATTTAATACTTGTTGACTTTGAAATATATTAGTCATAGTTCCAATTCCAGTAAGTACTGTGGGGACTTGTTGTAAAGGCAAAGCGGTTGGCCAAAAGCCTTCAGAAATAATTGTGACATCAGCTCCAGTATCCACAAGTCCAATAAAAGATTTGCCATTTAGTTTGATCGCAAGTTGAAGTCTCTGGCCATACTTCTAAATCCTCTTTGTCCTTGAACATTAGATTTCCCAATTTGCATATAAGGTAAAAACAGAAGTTTTCTATAACGGTCTCCAGCCTGGATGGGATAATCCAAAGTGGAACTCATTAGAGAAATCTTCCCTGAATAGTATGAATCAATTACACCCAAATGCACTAAAATTCCTTTCACAGTAACAGAACTCCAGCCAATGATTAGTCCTACTGTGGCTGAAGGAATTGGACCAAATACACCTGTAGGTAGGTACTTTACATATGCCAGCAGATGGCATCAGAAGACCATTATCACAGTACGGCAGATCTAAAGCCACATTCCTGTTCGTGGTAGGCAAGTCAGTAACCTTTAATTTTGGGGAAGCCAAGTTAGAAATTGTTGTGCGGGCTGCTGGCCGGGACTATTGCCACTTTGTTTTCCTGAGTCTGTGGCTGCCAAGTCAGAAACTGTTGGACAAGACTGTTTCCCAATTGTTTTCTTGGGGCCCTGGCAGCCCCCCCACCCCTTTCCCTGGTAGTAGGGGATAAGGGGGTGCCATCAGCATGAAATTTATAATGGCATTCATCACAGCAAAGGCAAAGTCCTGGAGCAGCAAAGTCCTGGAGCAGGACCCGTGGCTGGCTATTATTAGTTGTGGTGGGGGGGTTGTTTACAATATTTTTTCAAATGACCTTTCCAGTCACACTTAAAACATTTAAAGGCTGGTTTTTGTTCTCCGGGGTCTTTTCCCCCAGATACCCTCAGGCAATAGTTGCATTTTATAATTTCTGATCCAACATCCCAACAGACTTTTATATATTCCTCTAAAGGAGCGCTGGTGGATTTTAAAGGGCGCAAAAGCCACTGAAACTCAGAATTAGCGTTATCAAAAGCCAACATATGTAACAACATATTTCCTAAATCAAGAGGACTGACCATTTATTGCACATCTTGCAATATAGTAATAAAATCGACATAAGGTTCATTAACAGTTTAACATTTACACAAGGCACAGTTTGTCCAGGCGGGGTTATCTTCTCCTATACTCTAAGACAGCATTGTCAGACTTGAGCAATAGCCTGATCATCCCATTTCAACTAAGCATCTATGCCAAACCATTTTCCTTGTCCAGTAATCTGTGCCACCAGGATCTTGGAACTGATTAAGCCACACTTGCTAACCAGCTTAACTACCCCAAGTGGTAAACTGAAGAAACTCGGAGGGAAATAAGGCTAATGATAATGGGCAAACATTTCAATCCCAAGGAATTAATCTTTCTGCTTAAACCAATTCCTCAAGCAAACCCTTGGTGTAAGGAGAGTTGGTACCTATGAAACACAGGCTTGCTTTAATTCTTTCAGAGTTTTTGTTTTGTTTTTTTTTTGAGACAGAGTCTTGCTTTGTTGCCCAGGCTAGAGTGAGTGCCGTGGCGTCAGCCTGGCTCACAGCAACCTCAAACTCCTGGCTCAGCGATCTACTGCCTCAGCCTCCCGAGTAGCTGGACTACAGGCATGCGCCACCATGCCCAGCTAATTTTTGTATATATTTTGTTGTCAATTAATTTATTATTTTGGTAGAGACGGGTCTCTCAGCTGGCTTTCGAACTCCTGACCTTGAGCAATCCGCCCGCCTCGGCCTCCCAAAGTGCTAGGATTACAGGCGTGAGCCACCGCGCCCGGCCACCCTCTTTCAGAGTTTTAAATGGGATGGGCTCATGAACATGGTGTGGGCTCCGGGTGCTTGCGCAGCCCTGCCTTGATCATCAGAATCTGAATTTGGCTGTACTATAGCAACCGGGAAGAGATGATCTTCCAGGTCTCCTTTTAACAGTGCTTCTCTTACAACCTCCCCGAAAGCCACCTTAAACTCTCCTTTGTTTTTTGAGATCCTTCTTGAAGACCTTTTTACAGGGATTAACATGTTTGGGAGGGGGGGAATCAGCATAACAAAGCAGTGGTGCTGAGGGTGGTGCTCAGAGCAGCCAAGAGAGAGGGAGTGGAAGCCAGGTAAATCTCTAGCTGATGTTTTGTCCTTTTTCAGTCTCATAAGGAGCAAAGTGAGGAGGCAGAAACACATCTTCAGAATTTTTCTGTTCTTTTATTTGTTCTATAGACCCATATTGAGGGCCAATAACCGAATTTAATGGCTTTTTCTCATCCTTGCCTGATTCATACAGAAGACCGTAGATAGCACCTCCTCTTCCCTATGATAGCCAGGCTCAATTTGTCGCTGCCTTTATTTTAGGATGGGAGTGAGCCAGTCTGAGTTTGATTGAAACGGTTGCAGAGCCTGAGTAATTAAGGAGAGAGTTGCCACAAGAAAGAGGGACCTCTTCTCCTCTGCCTTGTGAATGTCGCAGCGCTCTGCTTGCCAGCCTCCATTGCCACAGTCTGAGCGTACCCAGATAGGAAACCAATGAGTGTATGGAAATTAAATGAAATAGTTCCTCAAAAGTTTTCTGCTTGGCAACCACCCCAGAACTCTGTAACAGAGTCTGCAACAATTCAATGTAGTCAATGAATTTAGACTGATGTTAGCCTGACTGAAAAATCCCCAGAGCTGAACTCACCCTTCTTGGGCACAGCAGCTCCTAGCTTTCTCCTGGTCTCTGCAGCACTGTCCGGGAATCTCCTTCACCTGATAAAGCCTTCTGCCTTTAAGAACTCTGCTCACTGCGCCAGCTGCTGGGAGACCACAACGTTCCCAGTAAGACAGGTTCCAGGCAGGATCATCGCAAGAGATTTGGAAATAACAGAGACACAAGGTGCAGTTGAAAGTGACCAGGAAGTCAGGTGTCCTCCAGCATTCCTATGACCCAGGAGGCACTGAGTGAGGTCCTACATCAGTATTTATTGTTACAGCAAACACTTGTCCTTGGTCATAGAATCATGTGTACAGATCATCTGTGTAGGTTTCAATGCTCCCCAAGGGTTTCAAGGGACCCTTACCTAATTCTGTCTACAACAGTAAACGGTTACAAAATTTTTCTAAGATAAACATTGTAAGTCCAAAGTTAAGAATAGACCTAGCTTAGCATACAAGTTAAAGATAAAAATGGATAAAGCAGGAACACTGAGCCTGCATACTAATCTATTCTATTTCTCTACAGCGAGACATGTGGTCAGGAGTGAAGCAGGAACAGCCTTGAAGTTTACAATAGTTACGGCTGAAAGTTAGCTGCTGGGCTGGTATTTTTCAATCAGTTTCTTATCCTTGGGCCCTATGCCAAGCTCTGCCTTGCACGAGCTCCAGGCGCTGGCATGCAGTCGTCCCTGATGATTGGAATGTCTCTCTTGTTGCTAAGCAGCTTCTGGTCTGAGAAGTAATACACCCCAAAATTCCTTCAAGACATTAAGTACTGCAAAACTCCTTAAACTTTCCATGTCTCTTAGCCCTATTTCCCAACATCTCCCCCTTTCTCTATAGAAGCAAGTTGATGAAGTTCAATAGCCATCACTACGAGACATTGGTCTCCGGAGTCTAGTCTTCTTCGGAGTTTCTTCTAGACTGTAAGCACAAGCAAATGATTAAAATAATTCCAAAAGTTATTACGCGGAACTCCTATAGATCTTAAGAGGAGAAAATGGGTTAGCAAACTCCATTACAGATGAAATACTGTTAATAATGTCAGACTCAGAGATTAGATCAAGTCTGTGACTAAAGGTACTTAATACTGCCTGTTGTAGGCCGGGTGTGGTGGCTCACGCCTGTGATCCTAGCACTCTGGGAGGCCAAGGTGGGCAGATTGCTCGAGGTCAGGAGTCAAAACCTCCTTGGAGCAAGAGCGAGACCCCATCTCTACTAAAAATAGAAAGAAATTAATTGGCCAACTAACATTAGCCGGGCATGGTGGTGCTCGCCTGTAGTCCCAGTTACTCGGGAGACTGAGGCAGAAGGATCGCTTAAGCCCAGGAGTTTGAGGTTGCTGTGAGCTAGGCTGATGCCACGGCACTCACTCTAGCCTGGGCAACGTAGCTAGACTCTGTCTCAAAAAAAAAAAAAAAATTAATATATATATATATATATTGCCTGTTGTAAATTTCCAATTTCTTCAGTCAGATTTCCTTAAGTAGATGTTTTTTACTGTGTTCCCAAGGAAACCAAGTCTGATTACATATGGGAGGTATAATACAAAATTGAGTGATATTCCAATCACAACAGAGTCTAATTTGTTTTTGTAGGCTTATAACCTGGTCTCCCAGTAAGATGACTGCTTGTTGTAAGTGGGCCACCTGAGTAGCCAACTTGTTATCACTTTAATTTTGGGTAGACCATAATTGATTTGATTCATGATGCCAATTCTGAACAAACTCAGTAGTTTGCACGGTTTGATGTAAAGCCACCCCTGCTGTGGCTGCAGAGACGATCACAGCAATTATTCCCAAATAGCTGCTGTTAGGAGACCAAGAAATCCTTTAGCATGTTTAAGAATGTGGTTAAGCAGCTTGTCTAAAAGGAACATTGCTGGGGTTTCTTGCCAGACTCTATTCATTTTAACAGGTAACCACAGCCCCGTTCTGGTTTTGACAATATAAAGTGTTTCTGTGTAAGGATTAAACTTTATGGAATTGTCAATACAGGTATAATAAGAAGAGTTGTTACAGGTCACAAGGAAGGAAGGTTCATTATACTTGGCAGGCCCAATCAAGAATATATAAGGCAGTTTAACACAAGCCTGGATAGAATTAGTAGAGTTCAAATAGAAAGTGGACTCTCGGCTATAGTTTGTATCCAATCTGTCTGTGCTAACCCAGGCCTTCATAGGGTGCAAAGTGGCTGACAGTTTCCACAATTGATCATGAATAAGGCCATTTAATATGTGAGGGGCTGGAAGGCTCATATTGTCATTCAGCCATCTAATATGACTTTGAAAGCCAGTGTCTTTACAGCCATCGAGGTGGCAGTTTTATTCCAATGAAATTTTTTAAGATTCGAGAGGAAGCAGGATGCCCATAGGGGCTCCAATCAAGTATGTAACCATAAAATGGTGATGTATAAGAATGTGTCTACATGGGCTCTACAATTTTCCCATTGTACCGAGGTTTTAGAGTCAGTAATTACTACCTCTTTACAAGTGGGTACATGTCTGGATGCAATTTTAGAATTCCAAAAGAAGAAAAAAAGAGGCAGTCAGGAAGAATAACCAGGCCTTACTCTTATTGCTAGTTGATTTGGTGGTGACCAGCCAGGTTTGGATAGCAGGTTTTAAACAATGAATACCTTTGCCAATACATATGGGAGGACCCTCTGTTCCAATTTCATATCTATTAATGGTAGTGCCTACTTCGTTGGGATTCACTGGACCATGATGGGTCCCGGTACCAACTGGAATCATTAACAAACACTAAAAAAACGAGTGGTCAGCCCACTTGACAATATTATTTAAAGGTGGGTTAGGAATATAGGCCCAACAGTCATAGGTCTGATTGCCAGATCTACCTACCGCCAGGCTAACTGCACTGATCATAGCAAGAAAAAGGTTTGCAGACGTTTTAGGTACAGATGTCTGATCCAGTATCTTGTCTGCTTCCTGATAGGTCCTCTTCAGCTTGCCCCATGTTATGGGTTGTGCCTGTCGTGTGTTCATGGATCGAAACCTCTTCTTTGATTGCTTCCTTTGAGAAACCTTAGTCAAAGCTTCAGCCGTAGATGGTGGCACTGTCTGCTTTTTCCCCTCGGGTGGACACTCTGGGCTTGATTCTTCTGCTGGGGATTCAGATCGTTTGTCCGTCATCTGTCAAAACACAAGCATAATCTTGACCCCACACCTTTGACCAAACTTCTATTTATTTTCTATGTCACCTTTCCCCCAGATGAGCTGGTGAGGAAGAGAGTCTGGTTGTTGACTCCCATTCCAATGTTTCTCTACTGCTTTTTAAATTGTCTTCTTTACAAATATTCAGAAAATTTACAGTAAATAAGGCTTGATTTATTCTATCTCTGGGGGACTGCATTCCTCCCCCTTTTCGTTTTAATAACAAATTTTTTGACCATGCCTGTAATCCTAGCACTCTGGGAGGCCGAAGCAGGTGGATCACTCAAGGTCAGGAGTTCGAAATCAGCCTGAGCAAGAGCAAGACCCTGTCTCTATTTTTAAAAAAATAAAATAGTAACATATTTTTAAAAGTTTGATGAGTACAATCTATAATGCCTTGTCCTTGAGGATTATAAGGAATGCAGGAATGTGTTTGTATTCCATTTAGTGCAAAAGGTTGCAAAAGAATGACTAGTATAGGCCAGGCACAGTGGCTCACGCCTGTAATCCTAGCACTCTGGGAGGCTGAGACGGGCGGATTGCTCAAGGTCAGGAGTTCGAAACCTGCCTGAGCAAGAGCGAGACCCCTGTCTCTACTATAAATAGAAAGAAATTAATTGGCCAACTAATATATATATAGAAAAAATTAGCCAGGCATGGTGGCGCATGCCTGTAGTCCCAGCTACTCGGGAGGCTGAGGGAGGAGGATTGCTTGAGCCCAGGAGTTTGAGGTTGCTGTGAGCTAGGCTGACGCCACGGCACTCACTCTAGCCTGGGCAACAAAGCAAGACTCTGTCTCAAAAAAAAAAAAGACTAACTAGTATAAGCAGGGTGATTCTCCGTTTGGATGGTGCCTGAGATTCCAATATTTGTAAAACAGAAGTATAAGTGTCAAAATACATGTTGAACAGTTTCTCCAGGGCATGGAGTAGCCATAATGAGATCAGAATAAGTATCTATTGTAACACGTACATTGACTAATTGCCAAATTCAGGAATGTGTATAACATTCATTTGCCATAATTCATTTGGTGAGAGGCCTAGGGGATTAACCCGCTCAGGAAGACTAGGCAAGAGGGACAATGAGAAACAATATGCATGGCTTGATTATTTGTTATGTGAAACTTTTTAATTAAAACTTTAGTATTAATATGAGTTAACTGATGGAATTTTAGTTGCTTCTTGAACAGAACCAACAAATAACTGATCTGTTTTCTCACTGCCAGCCGCCAATGGGCCCAGGTGGTTAGTATATCTGAGTAATAAAAAGTGGAAAGTAGTGACTCCATATAATCAACTGAAGTTGCTGAAACAGCTTGGAAATTTCATCAGTTTCTGTAATAGTGACTGTTTCCAAGGCTAGAACTGCACGTACAATGTATTGTGAGTCACAAACAAGATTTAAAGGTTAAGTAACATCTTGTAAAAGCTGAGTAACAGCTCTCAGTTCCACTTTTTGTGCTGAATTATAAGGTGTTATCCACACTTTAGTTAAAGGACCAGAAGAACTGGCTTCGACCATTGCTACTGCCATGAGTAAAAAAGGTGGGAGAATGAAGTATAGACATAGGTTTCAAGATTTTAGGTAATATCCATAGAGTTAATTTCAGAAATTGAAATCATTTGTTTTTTGGATAGTAATTGACAATTGTTCCTACAAAATGAAATATACCTGATTGCCAATCTAGATTTTGTTGATAAACCACGTGAATTTGTGAGTCAGTAGGAGGAATAACAATGTTCTCAGGACCTTGGCCACTAGTTGTTTTACTCTTTGGCAGCCTTTAAACATAATCTGACCAATTTTGTCCAAATACGTGGTAAGATGTTTCTGTTGTTTAGGCGGGAGAAAAATCCACTCATTTATACCCACTTCTTGAATTAAGGTAGCAGAGGGAGAATGTTACGATGGGTAAACAATTAAATCCACTCTTTTCTCAAGATTCACTCTAGACAGTAGAGCTTTGTGAATACGAGATTGAATCCACACCAATTCCTCTTTAGCCGCCTCAGTTAACTGACGAGGACTGCTAAGATCAGAGTCGCCCTTTAGTATATCAAAGAAGTTGCTTAAAGCGTAAGTAGGAATACCTAACATACGTCTAAGCCAGTTCATGTCTCCTAGTAATTTCTGAAAATCATTCAGAGTTTGCAATTTGTGTATACGTATTTGAACTTTTTTAAGAACTATTTTATATCTTTTCTTTTCAGCAATTATTAAACCAAATTGAGGCAATACTTGTTTCACTAGTCGGTATAGTTGTTCCAATTTTTCTTTAGATGAACATGCAAATAAAATGTCATCCATATCATGAATAATATAACCACAGGGAAAACACTTTTGTAATATTTCCAAAGGCTGATTGACAAAATGTTGGCACAGGGTTGGGCTATTAAGCATGCCCTCAGGCAAGACTTTCTTGCTATTGTTTAAAACAGTAACCATTCGATCAGATATTTGCAAAAGGATTCTAATAAAACAGTCTTTTAGATCCACTATTATAATACGCCAATCTTTAGGGATCATAATCAGAGATGGGATTCTTGGCTGAAGAGCCCCCATTAGTTGTATAATTCAATGGCTCTTTCCTAAATCAGTTCACATTCGTGATTTACCAGATTTCTTTTTTTTCTTTTTGAGACAGAGTCTCACTCTGTTGCCCCGGCTAGAGTGCGATAGCCTCAGTCTGGCTCACGGCAACCTCAAACTCCTGGGCTCAAGTGATCCTCCTGCCTCAGCCTCCCAAGTAGCTGGGACTACAGGCATGCACCACCATGCCTGGCTAATTATATATATATATATGTGTGTGTGTGTATATGTGTGTGTACATATATATACACATACACACACACATATATTTTAGTTGTCCAGCTAATTTCTATTTTTTTGGTAGAGATGGGGTGTCGCTCTTGCTCCAGCTGGTCTCAAATTCTGGAGCTCAAACGATCTGCCTGCCTCCCAGAGTGCTAGGATTACAGGCGTGAGCCAGCAGGAGAAGCCCCCAGATTTCTTTGTAATAACAAATACAGGGGAATTCCACGGACTGGTGGACTTCTCTGTATGTCCTGCTTGTAATTGTCCTTCTAATGTTTGAAGAGAATCCAATTTTTCCTGGTCTATAGGCCACTGCTCTATCCATAGGCTCTTGTGATATCCACTTTAAAAGCTAGTACGCTGTGCCCTTCAACAGCAGTGACCGCTACCCAAAATTTGGATACCCTAAACGAAGGTGAGAAGAGTGCTCTTTTGGGGCCCCAAAAGTCTTACTTAGTCCCTTGGCCTTCCTTATCCAAAGCAAAATAAGGATTATAATTCATACTAAGCATCATTTGTTTAGCAGGAGCAGACAGACTAGGTATACTGACCTAAGCTTCCCATTGCTGTAACAAAGCTCTCCCCCATAGACTGATAGCTATCTCGGCCACATAACGTTTTAGGGTGGCTGTTTATCAGGGCCACAACAATTTAATATTTGTTGACTCTGAAATAAATTAATCATAGTTCCAATTCCAGTAAGTACCGTGGGGACCTGTTGTAAAGGCAAAGCGGTTGGCCAAAAGCCTTCAAAAATAATTGTGACATCAGCTCCAGTATCTACAAGTCTGATATTTGTAGTTGACATCTCTGATCATTAATAAAACTTTGCCAATATACTTTAGTTCCGGTGCTCCCAAACCCTCCTTGTCTTTGAACATGAGATTTTCCAATTTGCATATAAGGTAAAAACAAAAGTTGTGCAATATGTCTCTCCAGCCTAGATAGGATAATCCAAAGTGGAACTCATGAGAGAAATCTTCCCTGAATAGTATGAATCAATTACACCCAAATGCACTAAAATTCCTTTCACAGTAAGAGAACTCCAGCCAATGACTAGTCCTACTGTGGCTGAAGGAATTGGACCAAATACACCTGTAGATAGGTACTTTACATATGCCAGCAGATGGCATCAGAAGACCATTATCACAGTACGGCAGATCTAAAGCCACATTCCTGTTCGTGGTAGGCAAGTCAGTAACCTTTAATTTTGGGGAAGCCAAGTTAGAAATTGTTGTGCGGGCTGCTGGCCGGGACTATTGCCACTTTGTTTTCCTGAGTCTGTGGCTGCCAAGTCAGAAACTGTTGGACAAGACTGTTTCCCATATTGTTTTTCTTGGGGCCCTGGGCAGGCCTCCCCCCACCCCTTTCCCTGGTACGTAAGGGGATAAGGGGGTAGCCATCAGCATGAAATTTATAATGGCATTCATCACAGCAAAGGCAAAGTCCTGGAGCAGCAAAGTCCTGGAGCAGGACCCGTGGCTGGCTATTATTAGTTGTTGGTGGGGGGGGGGGTTGTTTACAATATTTTTTCAAATGACCTTTCCAGTCACACTTAAAACATTTAAAGGCTGGAGATAAAAAAGTTTTCCTGGGATCAGTCGCAGGGGATTTGAGTGGGGACTTAGACTTTACACATCTAGAAAAACACCTGGTCACATTTAAATCAAATTAATTAAAAGCCTCCCCAGAGGTCCCTACGGTCGGCAATACGGTCCTAACCACGACCTAACCCACCTCGACCTCACGGCTCCAGGGGCCTACCCTCCTCCCAACTGTGTCCCTCCTCTGCTCAGCACCTCCTATACAACCTACCCTGCCCCGAGGGGCCCCCTTCCTCCAGCAGAACTAATTTCTCCTTAGTCAACGCCTCTATCGAGACCATCCGAGAGCCATAATTCAAATATCAGGAGTGTGGGTATGCTACTCCCCCGGCCTCCCTTTTATGAAGGCGTCGCTGACATTGGTCAGCCATTATTTACTAACGACACCAGCAGACTCATGATGGGGCCTAGAGACCATAATGGCCTAACACTCAGCCAAGTCACAGGCCTAGGCCTTTGCCTTCTTAGCCCAAGAATGCTTCCTCCCGCACCCTTAGAAAAATATGTAATCAGTCAATTACTGTCACTCAACTTTTCAGTATATTCAGGCATCTAACACCTCTTATTTTGCTTGTTCCTCTGGCCTCACCATATGTATCTCTGCAACGTTTTTTTTTTTTTTTTAAGGAAAGTGCTGGTATCTGAACGTTTCTTGAGCATAGAGAGTATTGTGTATTAGTCATGCTCTTTCCCAGACTCACTGTACATCCTGCTAATGAGTATTCATTTTGGGATGCGCGGCACACAATGCCGGGTAAAGAGAGAACCCATCACGGCCATAACACTCGCAGTTGTTCTAGGCCTTGGTGCCACAGGGGCTGAAACAGGAATAGCCTCTCTAGTCACTTCCAATCAACAATTCCTACAGCTCTCTGTAGCCATCGATAATGACCTCCGAGAGCTACAGCAAGGTCTAAAATATCTTAAGGAGTCCCTCGCTTCACTCCTGAGATAGTGTTACATAAATAGAAGAGGCTTAGATTTAGTGTTCCTCCAAGAGGGAGGTCTGTGCGAGCACTCAAAGAAGAATGCTGTCTACGCAGACAAACAGGCCTGGTAGAAGATAGCTAAATAAAAAAGTTAGACAACCTTGAAATAAAAAAAAACAGAGGGAACAAAGTGAGGCATGGTATCAAAATTGGTTTTCCACATCCCCCTGGCTATCCACATTGCTTCCCAGTTTCTTGGGGCCGTTTATAGGTTTTTTGTTGCTTCTCACTTTTGGGCCTTGGGCATTCAAAAAACTAACCAACCTTGTCAAGTCACAGGTAGACGCAGCCACACAAAAATCGGTCTCCGTGTTTCACCAACGGCTAAAACAAAGAGGCTCCAAAAAAGACCTCCATACAGAGTCTCCCCATTCAGCCACAGAGGGTTTAAATTTCTCAGACCTTGCCTCAGACATGGAACGCAGTTGGTTCCAAAGGCTGTGGAGACGCCCATGACGGGATTATCGCGATGCCGTGTACCAGGTGCACACCCCGCCAGCTGTGAGGTAACTCCATGACGGGAATATTGTAGGTCCATGCCCGGGGCACACTTCATAATCAGAAGTGCCGGAGCTGGATGCCACCTACATAGCCTAAGACAGAGGCCTCACCTTCACATTAATCGCCAGATCTTATGTTTGGGGTGCTGGTCGCGGAAGCACATCGCGTAGCCTAAGACAGGCTCTCCACCAACTTATATAAACCTCCCTCATATTAATAAAGAGAGGGGGAGATGTTAGAGGCAAGGACCCTCAAAGACCCTCAACTCCCTATGACTTGTCCTACGCACGGACTTCGCCCTGGAAAATTCCAGCTATAGCTCCGAGAAGAACGCAGTCCATGACGTGCTGACCACGGAATGCTCCAGGATGTGTTGACTGCAAATGTTCCGGTTGGAGATGAGTAATCAGTCAAAAACAGGATACTGATAAGACACTGATTAGGGCTAATCAACCCAGACCCAAGCCTCATCGTCACCACTCTATTTTTTGTTTTGACTTCCTTGTTTTTGTATGCTTATAAAACCTACTAAAAATCTAAGTAAAGCAGACCTTGACAACCATTTGCTGTTC